GTGCCACAAAAAGTGGATACTTGGGCGTAATTCTAACTGTACATGCATATTCTAAAATGATAACTGTTTTTCATGTTCTTTAAATCAATACTACAAAACCACTTTCTTTATCAGTATTGTTGACAAGTGATAGTGTGTTTATTTAGCTGTGTTATAACCCAGCCCACTATTTAACACTGTGAGGTAATAAATACATCATTAATTATTGATGGGAATATATACTCTACAAAGCAATGTTTTATGTTATTTTCATAAATGCAACTTAAATTCCAGTTCTCAATGCATTTACATCGTTGTCTATTGATTTAGGTATTTCTATAAAATAAACTTCCTGGTTGCGACTGATACTCTTTGTGTCAGCAAAAATATTGAAGCAAGAGGTGGAGTAAGTCAGGACACAACTATCATCGTATATTTAGGTGAGAAATAGAATAATAAACAACATCATTGGATGTATTGAACCAAACACGTGAGTAAACAATGACGTGACACAAATAGTGTAATAGCGGGTGACACAATAAACAACTTCTATTAATAGAAACGTGTTTATATATTAAGGCATTTATGACGTATTATAAAAACCTGTAAAACACGTAATGACTTAATATATGGTGATATAAAGATCAAATAGCATGTATGTACAGTCCGCACAAGAAACATAATATTCTTGTCTTTTATCACATTATGCTAATTTTTCTATCCTCATAGTTGAGAAAGATACCATACCAGGGCCCGTAGTCATGAAACCAGTCTGCTGCACAAACTAAGATACATTTTGATAAAAAGGAAAAAGTCCTTAATCAACATTTGCCTCGGTCTTAAAGATATCTTCCTGACGTGGTTTACAACGGTTGAAATAGCATCTATTGAGATACTCAGAAAACTGCCTTATTTTTTTGCTTTTAAATAACAATTCGTTTTTAATAAACTCTTATATTTGTAGGAAAATAACACTGTTCTTATTTAATTATTTCACAATACTACTTGTGAGTACTAAAACCGATGACACAGGCAATCTTTTGAGGTCTGGAATTTAGAAATAAAAGTATTTCTTTATATAACAGGGAATTCTACTTTGAAACAAAACTTTTGTGATCGACTTGAATACGTATCTTTTCGCACATAGACAAGATCGATCAGCATTGGCGAGTATTTGAATCCTACGTGTCTATGAGTTAACATAGGATGATCAGTCGGTATGAATGAAATAATGTATTGGAGAGCATTATACTATTTAACGAAAACATTAGTACGCATGAGAATAAAATGAAAAATGATAACTGTATTCAATCTAGATTAGGTTTCGTCATTATATATCCAAATAGATCATATACAAATCGTCACAGTACTGTACCCGTTTGTCGTTATACCCAAGTCTGTACACGTACATTAGTTACCCGAATTGTATCGGTACAAATGTATCGTGTACATGTCTAAGTAAACATCACACTGTATCTCTACTTTTTTTAGATGTACCCTAAACCATTATACTTACATGTACAAATTTATCATTATACAGTATATCTCAGATTTTTGTTTGCACTATAAATATTGTTTCCTTGCATCATTTTTCAGGCGCGGTCAATATCTATCATCGAAAACCAGATCGTACCTGTCAGCTATGAAGCACACAACATCCTAAGGATTGACTCTTTCATGGTGTCCTCCTGAAAGTTTTCGTGAGAATTGGTTTCCAGCAAAAGGCTAAGGTATGATACATTTTGTATATTGTAGTTTCATAAATTTTCGCTGTTTTTTCAAGCTGGAACTTTAAGGATGCTTATCGTGACAATAGCTGTGTCAAATCAATTGAAGCTGTCGACTGCTATGTATAGCTGTTTCGTAATCCATAAAGGTATATTTTAAATATCTTGTTGAAATCTATGAACGAATAGATTAACAGTTTATAGGGTAATCAGTTACTAGATAACCTTACTGTAGGTGTTTCTTATTGTTTTGATATATGATTTAAATCTCCACTTAGTACAGGAACAGGTAATCTTAATATTGAGTTGAGGGAAAATATCCATAAACCATCTCTTTCAAAAGTGTCATTCATGAGCGGTAACTCTGACAACACACATGGGATCTGCACACGTAAATTGGTGTTCAATACGTATGTTTACGTTACTCTAGGGGTTACATTCCTATGTTCCGTCCATACCTACAGTTGGGAGCAAACTTAACTTGGTAACTAGTGCACTTCGTAGTGCACATGTAGTGAACAAGGAAGTGCACTAGACAAACATTGAAGTGCACTCTATTTCAGTTCAGTGTTTACTCCATTGCACTATGATGTTAGCTCCAGTGCATAACGATGTGAACCCCAGTGCACTAGTGTTAACCAAAGTTTAAAAGATTGTAATACAAATTTCAATAATTGTTTATAATAAACTAGTTCACTCATGATTTCATAATTGAAAGAAAAAAGAAATAAACATTTTATTGAGAATTTCACTATATCTATAAAATATTTTTTTCTGATTAATCATATTTCAACTGAACATACACATGTACAAAGAAAAAATGTTCGCTATATAGTATATGGTGATTACAGAAAATATGTAAATAGCTGTACTATTTCAGAGGAAAACAGTCAAAAATTTACCTGATCATAGTTAAATTCCCATCACATTTATTATCAATATTGTAGAGTCAGGATGGGGGATCAGTAACTGTTATGTGATATGGATATATATGGTAAGTGTTCCTATAATTTCATACTTTTTTATGAAAGGTTTCTCACTTTCACGACATCAATAGAGTAATTTCGTTGTTTTATTAAAAAGGTCAATGACTTCATTAGTTCCGTCTCATATACAGTACTAAAACATATGTATTACAAGTTTTATACAAAAAAAACCAAAACATTCCAGATACATCTTATATCATAGCATTGCACTGTATAAATACAAGTAAAAGCTCAAGCTATCGATTTGGAATTAATTTAAGCCCGTTAATCCAACGTTGTCTTCTTTTAGGAAAATTTAGACAAAACAATCCATAAGTCTGTCTGATTTATATTTCTTTGTTACATATTTATACACGTCACGTACATGTACATGCTGATTGTCGAATTAGAAAATCCCCCCCCCCCCTACCACCAACCCCTACCTGGGTCTACTGTGTTCCCCACAACAATGTAGCAGGTATACAGCTGGCCTGGTGGTACATTAATGAATTACCAATGTTAAAATGATGACAACATTCATAGTTAAAGGGCGCAAACATCTGGAGATTCAGTTTTATACAGGCACATACATGTTGCATGTTGAAATAAGTTGATACATTTATTAATAAGCAATCACATGAATTCAGTTGTACAGGGAACCGCAAGTTTTAATCATGCAGTTAAAACTTTACTTCAGTGGTAGATTTAAAGATATTGCTAGGGCAATGTAACCAACCGCTGACACATATTTGTCTTATCAATATGATATTTACCTGAGAATATTTGGGCAATGACCACACACTGACCATTCACCTGAGGTAACATGGGATACTGATGGGCTGTACCCAATCTTGAACACCTTGTGTAAAGAACATTAATCATGTCAATTAATCCAGCCCATTGCCTGTCCATTAGATACACAGGTACATCAGTACATGCTTACAGGTAAGATACTATGGCTGTTCCTATGTCAGAAAATGACAGCCTCGGGCACAATTCTATTTTAAAACAGTGACTTTGACTCTAAAGTAATGTTTCACACTACCTTATCCTCTCAAAAAGTTAACAAACTTGGTGCCGACACTGATTGAAAACACAACCAAGCATCAATTAAGGACTTCCTGCCCTTTGTAATACACGTGTTTTTCTTGGTGTATTTTTGTGTCATCATTTCCGTATTTCGTAATTATATTAACACCAGATGAACAATAGTACACGGACGTGACGATATGTCCAACAGTATCAAACAGCTCAGTTGCCCTCACTAGAACCGGGGCTGACAGGAATCGTCGCTGACCAGGACCGTTGCATAGTATAGCGTGTTCCTACACTTGTTTTATCAAAAATCTGTAAGGAATTGCATCACTATATTATTAACGTTTAGTATGGTAAAGTATAAGCACCAAATTATAAAGAAAAAAAAAGGTTATGATAATTGTTTTAATACAAAAAGTGTAGCAGAACTCATACTGTAGGGTCAGAAGGTAACAGCTGCCTGCTTTCGATCATGTAGATCTGACTAAATTGTTCCAGTAGTACACACAGTTCAGATGATACAGATACGCGTAAAATTAAAATACCGAGTTTCTTTTCCTTCTCCAAAGAATTTTTCATATAGGCCTATCTGTCAAAACGGAATAAACTAGTTCAAACATGTACATATATGATGTTGGATCAGAGTAGACTACAATGAATCCTAACTATTTCATGTTTGTATACATTATATACAAATTAAAACTTGTTTTAATGTAATTTATGCAGTCAGACTTACATGCTTTTACGTAACTATTTTTATTTGCGGAAGGAGGTATGTTGGGGTATGAGTGATGCGGTCCGACAGGTTACATGCGCGCATTGATATGTTGCTATAATTAGATCACTATAAATACAAATGACGCAGCAGCTCCTATTCAGAAGCTGATAAAAGAAAATGGCGGAACAAGGTTCGTACGGTCAAGGTCAATTTTATTTCAACTTGTAAAGTTTTGTATTGTTTTATCTGATCACAGATTTTAGTATATACAAGATAAACTTTATGTACTTGACTGTACGTTGTAATGTCGTCAGTTATCGTTTTGGGTCACAGTTTTATTCGCCGTTTGGATGATAGCCTTACGGGTTCATGGACAAATCTAGGTTTTGACCCGGATCAGTTACAAGTCTTGTGTCTTGGCAAAAGTGGCGGTAAGATTCCTAATCTTTACGCTCGTTGTATTTCTGATACTATTCAACAAGTTCAGCCTTCGGTGGTTTTATTACAAATCGGTGGCAATGACCTAGATTGTGCTGACAATGTGCGGGTTAAGGGCACACTTGTGACTGACCTATTTTCGATAGCCCAGTGGTTAGTTACTGGTTTTGGCATCAAACGTGTGGGGTTCCTACAATTATTATATCGTCGGACAACTCGAGTGACACCTGTGACTATTTACAATGAATCTGTGGATTTCGTCAATTCTGCCTTAAAACAACGCTGTATGGGTTCCACGGTGTGTTTCTTTTGGCGCCATAAGGGCCTTAAAGATGGCGTCTCTGAAAATTTGTGTAGGGACGGTGTCCACTTGTCTTCTAATGGGATGCGCAAGTACATATATTCTGTGCGTGGAGCAGTTTTACAGGGCTTAAAATTTGCCGCAGCATGAGTTATTTTCTTTCCCTACAAGGTAAGGTCTTGCATATTCATTAGTTTTTTATCCTGGTTTGTTTATGTTTACCTTCAACTCGTTCTATTTTGGGATATCTCTGATGTCATAGAGTCGACTGCACATGCGCACTATCTTATTTCCGCCCAGCTGTTATTGTAAACAATGCGTGTTCTCTTCGCCTCAAAGTAGATTCTTTTCCTGGTTATTTCACGTGTGACATTGAGGAATCATCAGCAGTAACTAATCGTACGTTACATTTAGTAAATGTGTTGACACAATTGTGGTAGAGTGTTCTGTTTTGTCAGACTTCACGGGTTATTGTTAGTTTTACATGTCGGTCAGTACTTTCGGTTTTGACTTCTGTTGTTTTAACGGTTGATTTATTTTGCCCGTTCAAAATCGGGGTTTGTTTTGCATGTGTACACGCGTGTACCATTGCTATACGATATAATGTGTTAGTTAACATGTTGTTCGTGCCAAATATTTACATGTGAGTTCACATGTTTTGCTATGAGAGTTCTCATATATACATGTTAGTTAACATGTGTGACTGTGTGTGGTAATGTTTTAGGCTCAAAAGAAAACACCTTGATGATGCATGTTAGTTAACTTGTGTCGTTAAAGCGGTGGTAACATGAGTTTATGTTTCCCACTTTTTTGAGCAGTTCTATAGTTCTATGTTTTTACAATGTTTTGCTTTCAATTTTGTTAACCTTTTTGGCATAGTATGGAAGGTTTTGAAAACAATAATCCTATTTTGATTATGACTATTTATATGGTTATTCTGATCTCAATTTTATGCTAACACATGTGTTTGCATATTCATAAACTTTCACTTGAAATTACATAAACTTGCTGTTATTATGGGAGTTTCTCCCAATGTTGTCCAATGGGATGTTTACTTTTTCACAAGAATGCTATTATGAGTTTCCTGATTATTAGGAATCCATTCTTCTTGGATATCAAAAGGTGCATTCAATGTTTGTTGCACACATTAGTTCAATGGAATTTTCCGCAGATACTGTTCAATTTATTGTTTTCCAGGTCATGGGGCAGCTCCCATACGGAAAACTAGACGGAGGGCAGCTCTCCAACATAGCATTGTTGGTCGTAGTACAAGACGACGGACGCAGGTCCCGGTCCCTACACCGGCTTTAACCAGTGATGTGGTAGAAACAACACCCACTATACAAGTTTTCAACAACCACCCTTCAGCAACTAGTATACCTGGGCCATCATTCAGAAATGACGCTACCTCCACTACGCCGGGGTCGATTAACCATGCCTTCCCCTCAAATTCCACTCAACCACCTATGGCAGCTAACCCCAACACAGTCTTACCGTCCACGCAGGAAATAGTGAAAGAATTATTCAATTTAATGAAGGCTGAAGGATATATGGTGCAGGCTCCGGTTGTGCCCACTTTGCCTACAACTACAACAGGGGCACCATCTGGACTTGGTCATAATTCATCACTCAGTATACAGTCCCTTGACATTCAGCGACCGGGACCAGCAGCAGCGACAGGGTCACCAGCTAATTCAGCAACTGATATTATCCCCCCTCATACAAGTGGACATTTCCTGCCTTTGCGTTCTATGGATCCTCTGACCATGCCTGCTACAACACCAACAATGAACATTAATAACCCATTATCACAGGTGTTGTCAAATTTTACGGGTGAGAATGGTTTTGAGACTTGCCACAGCATTTCCCGACCTCTGGACATGCATATTGATACTAAATTAAAAGCCAAAATTTTGGCTGGGGAGTACATTGATTTTGGCCTGTTGCTCCAAAAATCTTCTGATTCGGACCACTTCAAAATTCAGTTCCACAACAATGAATTAGCATTAGTTCCCAAACAAAAATCATCACAGATTAAATCCGTGGAACAATGGCTATCAGCCTTTCATATATTCGTTTCAATTTATGTCCAATCCCACCCCCAGGCTATTTCAGCTCTCATGAAATATGCTGACACTGTACAAACTTTGTCTAGAAGGTCGGGAATTGCTGCGGCTTTGAATTACGATTGTAACTTCCGTCGGTGGCATCAACTTTTCCCTCAAACTTCATGGGGAAATGTTCACTCCGAATTTTATTTGGAGGCTACAGCAATTGGGTTGAGAAGTACCTCCCGCCCAAACTCTTTTCAACAGCCCTTTCAGCAGCCCTTTCATTCCAAATCAACAAGTTGGCCAAAAGGTGTTTGTTGGCCATTCAACAAGTCTGGATCTTGTCGAAAGGGACCACGCTGCAAATTCCCACATGTCTGCTCCAACTGTGGAGGGGGGCATTCCTTTCGGCAATGCAAATTGCAATCCTCCTCCACTCTTCCCCAGGATAACCCCTCAGGCGGTGGAAACAATGGCCAACTCTCAGCCACTAATCCACAACGCCAACAACGTAAACCTCCTCAAAAAATCTAAACTCCCTACTCCTATTAAGGTCCAAGTGTTTCTTACACATTTAGCGGGCTACCCTCAGGATAAATTTCAATTTTTGAAGATGGGTTTTACTGAAGGTTTTTCTTTGCAGTATTATGGTTCTAGGCGATTTCGAACGTCCAAAAATCTCAAATCTGCTCTGGATAACGTTTCGGTTTTGAAACAAAAAATTGAAAAAGAAATTAGTTTAGGTCGCATACAAGGTCCATTTCAGACACCTCCTTTTCCAAATCTTCAGGTATCCCCGTTGGGCCTTGTACCAAAGAAAGAACTCAATGAGTTTCGTGTCATTCATCATCTATCATACCCTCAGGGTACATCTATCAATGATGGCATAAACCCTGAAGATGCCACTGTGGCATATCAGACAATTGATGATGCTGTGCGCCTTGTCAAACATTTTGGGAGAGGTTCACTCATGGCCAAAACTGACATTGAGTCAGCTTTTCGACTTATTCCCATTCATCCTACTGACTATGAGTTGTTGGGTTTCCAGATAGATGACAAGTTTTATTTTGATAAAGTCTTACCTATGGGATGCTCTATCTCTTGCCGTCTGTTTGAGGCATTTAGCTCTGCTATTCATTGGATCATGGAGACAAAATATCAGGTAGCGGGGGTTGTTCATATTTTGGATGATTTCCTTTTTGTAGCCCCACCTGGTAGTTCCAAATGTATGGAAGACTTGGCAAACTTTTTAACTTTTTGTCAACATACCCAAATCCCTATAAAACAAAGCAAAACTGTTAACCCTTGCACACAGTTAACTTTTTTAGGCATAGAGTTGGATAGTTCTAAAATGGAGGCCAGACTTCCTATGGACAAAATCATCAAAATGCGGCAGTTGTTAGATCAGTTTTCTCGGCGCAGGAAAGTCACGCTACGGGAATTACAGTCTTTAATTGGTTTGTTAAATTTTGCCTGTAAAGTTATCTCTCCAGGTCGAACTTTTTTGCGTCGTTTGATCAACTTGACATGTGGCCTTCAAAAACCTCATCACCATGTACGTTTAAGTCGGGAGGCTAGGGCTGACATTGCTGCTTGGAAAGTTTTCATAGACTCCTTTAATGGGGTTTCCATGTTCCTTGATGATCGCTGGGTAACTACACCACAGCTTCAGTTCTTCACTGATGCCAGCAATCGGGGTTTTGGGGCTATTTTCAACACTTCATGGTTGTTTGGGACCTGGCCAGCATCTTTTACCTCCTACCATATTACAGTTAAGGAGTTCTTTGCAATTGTCTTGGCAATTGAAATTTGGGGCCCCTGTCTGCGAAATAGATGTCTATTGTTGTACTGTGACAACATGGCCGTTGTTGATATAATCAACAAACAAACAAGCAAAGATAGCACTCTTATGGCATTAACACGTCGTTTTGTCATTACTTCCTTGCGTTTTAATATTCTTTTTTCAGCACGTCACATCCCTGGCAAAAGTAATATTCTTGCTGACCATCTGTCTCGTTTACAGGTGGAATTATTCCAGCAACAAGCGCCTCACATGGAACGGCATTCAACGCCAGTTCCAGATCACCTTCTGACAATCTAAGCATGTTACTTGTACAACTTTTGGAAAATGCAACATCCCCCCAGACCAGGCGTACTTATGCTAGGGCTTATCAATTATACCAACAGTTTCTGGTTGCCAACCATCCAACACTTCCATTCATACCTACTAATATGGGCATATTAGCATATTTCATTGCTTACCTACATCAAAATCATTTTGCCTCTTCCACAATATTGACATACATTGCAGCCATTGGATATTTGAATAAGCTGGCTGGTTTTTCTGATCCTTCCCAGTCCTTTATCATTAAAAAGCTTCTATCATCCATTCAGCGAACGTCGTCACGTGCTGATAGCCGCCTACCAATTACACCTGCCATTTTGGTGAAATTGGTAGAGTCGTTGCCATTTGTGTGTCCGTCTGCATACCAGCAGTACTTACTAAGAGCAATGTATCTCTTAGCCTTTCATGCATTTTTACGTGTGGGTGAGATGACTATGAACAAGTCTGCATCACATGTGCTTCAGTATCATGATGCAGTTATTTCCTATGATTCTAATGGCTGTCCCTCAAAACTTGAGCTAATTTTTCGCTCATTTAAAGGCCATTACAATATTCGGCCAATCACTTTATCATTACAATGTAAGCCTACACAGAGTGCCACCTGTCCAGTGTTGGCCCTTCATCAGTACCTTTTGCGACGTGGTCACTTGGCAGGGCCACTCTTTTGTTTTCCAAATTGCATACCAATTACCTATGCTTACTTCAGTACTTGTTTGCACAGTTCACTGGCTTGGGCTGGCCTGGCGCATCTTCCCTACACTAGTCATAGTTTTAGAATTGGGGCTGCCAGCCATGCTGCCGCTAGTGGTATTCCTGATGTAGACATTCAACAAATGGGCAGGTGGCATTCCTTGGCATTCAAGAGGTACATCAGATTGCCAACTTTTTACGACATGTAACATTACAGATATATGAACTTTGTCCGTTTCAGTGGCCTTTGGGCATAGGGTCGATAGGTTGCTGCAACGGGTTCTTACACTTTAGTGTTTTACTGATGTTTCACCTCATATTAGAGTAATAGGCTTGTACATTGTTCAAATACTTGCATTCTTAATATTTGACACGTTATATTCTTCCTTTTTCTGGCCATAGGGTCGAGGAGTTGGTCAACTGTGTCCGCTTCTATATTTTTCACTTTTTGTCTTTTGTAAATTCGGTTTGCAATTATTTTGTAATGTTATTACAGTTTTTGTTTTGTACACTACATTTTGTCCCTTGCTATGCAAGGATTAATCTCATCAGCTAAAATCCATGCTTAGTGCCTCCACTTGTCAGTTACAATTTTTGTGCATGTTTATATGTTATGTATACAAAAAACGCCAACCGAAAGTTTTCACATAACTTGCATCTCCCGGGCATAGGGTCGGGGAGATACTGTCCTTTCATGTAGTTGGCTGTTTAGGTTATAGATGTCCATATCATCTGTTGTATGTATACTCTGGGTCTTCATGCAGACCTTTCGCCAATTTTATTATGTTGGGTTTTATGTATATAGATATATTATGTCTCCTTTTCACTGGCATGCTTGCCTCCATGATAATTGTACTTTGGTTTTACAATTTTGTTCCAAAGTACACTTTTGATTATATTTGGTTTTATTCCATTTGGGCCTTCCACCATGGCTTCGGATGGGGGATGATTTCTGCTGCACCTCGTTTTATTTATGTATTAGCCTGGTGTTGCAGTAATCATTGTGGCGGAATAGGACCCCCATCTAAGACTTTTTGGGTCTATTTATATGACAAAATGTGAACGTCATAACAACCGTCGTTTATTGTAATAAACGGCCATATTCAATTCAGATTTGGTGTCCTTGTTTTATTTAATTATTTGTCTTACCAGCTTGCCATGGTGGATGTCCTGTATAAATACACCTTATACCGTTTTCTTTGAAAAGCCGCCGTGGCATTACAATCTTGAAAAACAAATCAACGGTTTTATAACTTATGAAATACCGACAGCAATGTAAATCGTCCTGCCAAACTACCATAAATTATATTAGATTATATTAAGAATCTCACTAATTTGCGCCATAGGCGATTTAGCGCCATAGGTGCGCCATAGGTGCGCCACAGGAGTTTTTGCACGCCAACGCAAAATGTGTAGCTGTAAACTTATATATATCAATGATTATTCCGTATAGCCAATAACCATAACTGTAAACTTATATATATCAATGATTATTCCGTATAGCCTATAACCATAGCTGTAAACTTATATATATCAATGATTATTCCGTATAGCCTATAACCGTAACTGTAAGCTTATATATATCAATGATTATTCCGTATAGCCAATAACCATAACTGGTAAGCTTATATAAATCAATGATTATTCCGCTAGTCTATAACCATAACCATAACTGTAAGCTTATATATATGTATACGGTCCTGATTGGGAACGTCCTAATCAGGAAATCAAATGGAAATTATTCCGTTTCGGTAGGTCATTTGTATCAAATACAAAAACTCATGAATATGAATGAACAAGGGAGGTGTCATAATGATAATATAATGATAATGATATAGATACCTTATATCATACCCGGTCCTGAGCGGGGACATCCTGATCAGGAAATATAATGGTAATGTATCCGTTGCTATGAACAAGGTCAAAAGATGTGTCCTTATGATTGGTAAATGCAAAATAGGTAACATGAACGATGTTACACTTAATATATATACATCTAATAACATATACGGTCCTGAGCGGGGACGTCCTGATCAGGAAATATAATTGTAAATATATCTGATGCAAAATAGGTAACATGCATCTTATAACATACACGGTTCTGAGCGGGGCATCCTGATCAAATGTTGAATATTTTCCATTGTAATTCATCAGATCTGTACAGTTAATAATAAATATAGTCAAAAAATGTGTCCTTATGATTTTCAGTTGCAAACTAGGTAACATGAACGACAAAATACTATATATATATATACATTTTAAAACATACACGGTCCTTGATGGGGGCACCCTGAACAGGAAATCAAACGTTAAATATTTCCGTTGTTATTCATCACATCAGTAAAGTTATCAATGAATACGGTCAAAAGATGTGTCAATATTATTTTTAACGAGAAAATAGGTATCATGAACGACGAAATACTATATATCTATACATTTTATAACAAAACACGGTCCTGGGCGGGAAAATCCTGATCAGGAAATCAAATGTTCAGTATTTCCGATGTTATTCATCACATCAGTAAAGAAAGTAGGGAACACGGTCAATAGATGTGTCCTACCATTTTCTTTAATAAAAATAGGTTACATAAACGACACAATACTATATATATACATATTATAACATACACGGTCCTGTGCAGGGAAATCCTGATCAGGAATCAAATGTTAGATATTTCCGTTGTAAATCATCAGATAAGAAAAGTTAACAATGAATACAGTCAAAAATGTGTCCTATTAATTTTCAAATACAAAATAAGTAAAAGGAACGATGCAATACTATATATATACATCTTATTACATACACGGTTCTGAGCGGGGAACTCCTTATCAGGAAATCAAATGTTAAATATTTCCGTTGTAATTCAACACATCAGTAAAGTTAACAATGAATGCGGTCAATAGATGTGTCATTATTATTTTTAACGAGAAAATAGGTAATATGAACGACGAAATACTATATATATATATATATATAGAATAAAAACAAATTTTTCAGATCGTCCGCTAGGCCTTTCTGCCTTCTAGGGCTTCTTCAGGCGGATTGATGTTTATTTATCACCGTTGGTTACATGACGTCATCAATATTTGTATAGTCAACAATTTTAGTGACGTCATAAATATACAAGCATAGTGACGTCACAAACAATACCAAGACAGAGAAAACATCTACATACAATACATTGCAAAAATCATTGTGCATTCAGGCTGGGTTTGAGGACCTTTATAAACATATTTTCTTTAATTTCTCTTGCAACTACATCGTCGCTATTCAGTTTGTAAATAGGTAACACATGAAAATCATCTTTAGAACATCGATGCATATGTTTGCTAACTTTTAAAAATCTTAGTTCATTGTCCTTCATTTGTTGTCTATGTACATTCATTCGTATTCTCAATTCACATCCGGTCTGTCCGATATAAAATTCACCACATTGTTTACATATTAAAGAGTAAATAACATTCTTAGAATTACAGTTAATGTCTGATCTAATTTCTATTTTGGAACCATTTGCAAAAACGTAGTCTTTACATTCAATGATAATCTTACATGTACCACACCTTGGTTTCTTACTTTTTTTTACACCAGTGACAACATTTGTGGTATTCATATCAAATTTGGATGTACATAGTAAACGTTTTAAGTTTTTAGGTTGTCTTTTACAGTTTATAATCTTCTTCTTATCAAAAATACACTTCATGTTCTCACTGTTTTTCATAAAATTTACAAAATGTTTAACGACAGGAAACATATTACAATTATTTGGATTGTAAGTAGTAACAAATGGTATGATATCAGCATCTTTGGTGTTAGCTCTTTCTAAATTAACACTGACAGGGCCTTTCTCTTTAGCTCTTTGTATGGCGTTTAGTACCACTTCAGCAGGATAACGTTTGCTTTTAAGATAAAGTTTCAAATCGTCCAATCTATCTTCTAATATTTTTTTATCGCTAACAACCGTGACTAATTTCGATGCTAAACCATATGGAATGTTAAGCTTAGTGTGTTTAGCATGATTTGAAAAGAAATCCAAATAATTGTGAGAATCTGTAGGTTTACAATATATATCGCTAACAATATTTTGTCCTTTAATTTCTACAAAAATATCCAAGAAAGGTATTCCTTTTTCACTTAACTCCATTGTGTAATTCAAATCGGGATGCAAGGCATTTAGCATATTGAAAAATTCCAGAAGATTCTCACCTGGAGGCCAAATAATAAAGCAATCATCTAGAAATCTCAAAAAGTTGTCTTTAAAATAATTTGCAAAAGTAACACTAAATGTGTTTTTAACATTTGTATAAAGTTTATCTTCTAAATACCCAAGGACAAGCGTCGCATAGGTAGGGGCCACCTTTGTTCCCATTGCAGTACATTTACACTGTTGGTAAAAATTACCATTAAAACAAAACGTATTGTTTTCCAATACAATTTTTAATGCTTCAACAATGAATTGTTTATCAAATCTAGAATCTACTTTTCCAGGACATTTATTCAACCAATAGCTAATGGCCTCAATTCCCAAATTATGTGGAATATTTGTATACAAGCTTATTACATCAAAAGTTACAAGTTTACAATCCTCCTTAACTTGATTCGGCAAATGAGACAAAAAATCCATATCATCACGTATAAAACTCTTTACCTCCGTACATAGAGGTTTCAGTATATATATATTATAACAAACACGGTCCTGGGCGGGAAAATCCTGATCAGGAAATCAAATGTTAAGTATATCCATTGTTATTCATCACATCAGTAAAGAAAGTAATGAACACGGTCAATAGATTTGTCCTACCATTTTCTTTAATAAAAATAGGTTACATAAACGACACAATACTATATATATACATCGTATAACATAGACGGTCCTGAGTGGGGAAATCCTGATCAGGAATCAAATGTTAAATATTTCCGTTGTAAATCATCAGATAAGAAAAGTTAACAATGAATACAGTCGAAAGATTTATTTATCTACTCACTTTATAATTTTTGTAAATCTGATGATGTCAAGAACATTCCGACCACATATTTTACGTCAACAAAAACTGTTACTACTCAACGGTCATGTGAAGGCACATGTTACGTATGTGTTGGTCAGTGGTCCAGCGAAGGGATCATCACCAAGATACCAGATTCAATAAAGACCGTCCTGGATAAAGCATTCCACTTATCTATTACCAACATTTAAACGTTCTGTCACGTTTGTGTACGTGAGGATGTTTAGGTGTGTGTGCGTGTGTGTGTGTTGTATTCATCTTTCAATGAAATATAGACCAGGTTACTCAGAATTTACCAAAATAGAAAAGTTTCTGTGGGTGGAATCGGACGCATGAGGTAAAAATAGCTGACAAAAACACCCGTTGGGAGAAGTTGCGAAACGAAACATAAAATCTGTATTGAAATATTTAATTTTGAGCAGCAGACTGTAAATATCAAACTGTGGTCAGGACCATTTAATTTCTTCATATAAAATTTGGAAGGTAGATGGTGAGAAGACATTGACCATATGTGTATCATACATTTTATTTAATTTTCGTCCGTAAGATATATGAGACCCAATCAATTTATCTAAAATAACTTTGCATATTATGGGGGCTATGACCAAAAGTGTTCGAAGAGTAGAATAAGTAGGTACATTGTCCATATTTACTGGTATAGGAGTACATTTCACTTAGTTCAGGCGCATGATACAGCATTACTCTTAAAGTAGGAGGTGCATAAGTTTCGGTTACTTTACCTGTTAAACCTCCATGTTGTTAACTAATGAATGTGATGCCTAAATCAGCATGTCATGACTTTGATATTAATGTTGAGTACATGCCACGATTGTCTCAAATCAACTTACCAAGGTGGCAGACAGATAAATAGCCATGAAAAATAATACAGGTACTTCGACACAAAATTCATATGCATTTTCTGTTTGTGTCACTCTATCTGTATCTGTTTAGCAAAGTTATTAATATACATTTTTGTTTGATCAATGATGTAAGTTCATGCTTAAAAATACAAACCAATTCCTTGACTTTATTAAAACCTCTAACAAATGCTTTATATAAAATTTTAAAAGTTATCCATTGTTTAAATAAATAATATTATTGACATGTATTAATTATATGTTCTACATAAGGATATTGTGCTTCAGGCAAGAAAAAAACGTATTCTGAGAGAGGGGACATT